GGGGACACTGAGGGTGGTGAGGATGAGGATGGTGACAATGGGGACACTGAGGGTGGTGAGGATGAGGATGGTGAGGATGAGAACACAGGACAGCGAGGACGAGGATGGTGAGGACACTGAGGGTGATGAGGACGAGGATGGTGACAACAGGGACACTGAGAGTGGTGAGGGTGAGGATGGTGACAATGGGGACACTGGAGATGATGAGGACAATGATGGTGACAACAGGGACACTGAGGATGGTGAGGATGAGGATGGTGACAACAGGGACACTGAGGATGGTGAGGATGATGACGGTGACAATGGGGACACTGAGGATGGTGACAACAAGCCCACACCCTGCTGACAACACCAACCCTGACAACAACAACCACGACACCTCCAACCCCCCCCGGGGCCTCACCTGCGCGTCACCACCATCGTCACCGTCACCGCCGGGCCGGAACTGCGGCAGCGTCTCGAGGCAGAAGACGACGATGGAGACGAGGATGACGAGCACGGAGAGCAGGGCCACGGCGCGCGCCGCCGGCGAGCTCTCGGGGTGCTCGCACAGCAGCCAGGCCCGGCGCCTCAACCCCCCCCGCGGCAGCGCCGGCGGCGCCTCCACCGCGAAGCCTTCGGCCTCGCGCAGCCGCTCCTCCGCCTCGTCGCCCAGCTGGTAGAAGCGCAGCTCCTCCAGGAACACGTCCAGCGGCACGTCGGGGGGTCTGCGCAGCCTCCCCCCGGACTGGTAATAGTAGAGGACGGCGCCGAAGGCCCCGCGGTGCCGGTCGAAGAAGAACTCGCGGCGCTGGGGGTCGAAGTAGCGGCGCCGGCGCCGGGGGTCCCCCAGGAGGGTGTCGGGGAAGCGCAGGAGGGTCCGGCCGAGGGTCTCGAAGCGCCGGCCGGCCACGTTGATGGCCACGCGCTCGCAGCAGCCCAGAGGCTCCCCCATGGCACCGCCGGGACCCCCCGGGCGGGCGGGGGGCGGCGCCGACGGAACCGAGGGCAGGGTGGGCACCGGGGGGGGGGCGGGGCCCCTAAAGGGTGGGGGGGGGGCCCTAAAATATCGGGGTTCGAGGGGGTCTTAAAGATTTGGAGGACCCCTAAAATATCGGGGTTCAAGGGGGTCCTAAAAATTTGGAGGACCCCTAAAATATTGGGGTTCAAAGGGGTCCTAAAGATTTGGGAGACTCTGAAATTATTTGGGGTTCAAGAGGACTCAAAAGATTTGGAGGACCCCTAAAATATTGGAGGTTCAAGGGGGTCTTAAAGATTTAGGAGACTCAAATTATTGAGGGTTCAAGGGGGTCTGAAAGATCTGGAGGACCCCTAAAATATTGGGATTCGAGGGGGTTTTAAAGATTTGGAGGACCCCTAAAATATTGGGGTTCAAGGGGGTCTTAAAGATTTAGGAGACTCTGAAATTATTGAGGGCTCAAGGGGGTCCTAAAGATTTGGAGGACCCCTAAAATATCGGGGTTCGAGGGGGTACTAAAGGTTTGGAGGACCCCTAAAATATTGGGGTTCAAAGGGGTCTTAAAGATTTAGGAGACTCTGAAATTATTTGGGGTTCAACGGGGTCCTAAAGATTTGGAGGACCCCAAAGATTTGGAGGACCCCAAGATTATTGAGGATTCAAGAACACCCTAAAGATTTGGGGGGCCCTGAAATTATTGAGGGTTCAAGAAGACCCTAAAGATTTGGAGGACCCCAAAGATTTGGAGGACCCCAAATCTATTGAGGGTTCAAGGGGACCCTAAAGATTTGGAGGACCCCTAAAATATTGGGGGTTCAAGGGGGTCCTAAAGATTTAGGAGACTCTGAAATTATTGGGAGTTCAAGGGGATCGTAAAGATTTGGAGGACCCCTAAAATATTGGGGTTCAAGAACACCCTAAAGATTTGGAGGACCCCAAAAATTTGGAGGACCCCAAGATTATTGAGGGTTCAAGGGAACCCTAAAGATTTGGGGCGGTCCCTGAAATTATTTGGGGTTCAAGAGGACCCTAAAGATTTGGAGGACCCCAAAACTATTGAGGGTTCAAGGGGACCCTAAAGATTTGGGGGGCCCTGAAATTATTTGGGGTTCAAGAGGACCCTAAAGATTTGGAGGACCCCAAAGATTTGGAGGACCCCGAAACTATTGAGGGTTCAAGGGGGTCCTAAAGATTTAGGAGGCTCTGAAATTATTTGGGGTTCAAGGGGACCCCAAAGATTTGGAGGACCCCTAAAATATTGGGGGTTCAAGGGGTCTTAAAGGTTTGGAGGACCCCTAAAATATTGGGGTTTAAGGAGGTCTTAAAGACTTAGGAGACTCTGAAATTATTGAGGGCTCAAGGGGATCCTAAAGATTTGGAGGACCCCTAAAATATCGGGGTTCAAGGGGGTCTTAAAGATTTAGGAGACTCTGAAATTATTGAGGGTTCGAGGGGGTCTTAAAGATTTGGAGAACCCCTAAAATATTGGGGGTTCAAGGGGGTCCTAAAAATTTGGGGCGGCCCCTGAAGTTATTTCGGGTTCAAGAGGACTCCAAAGATTTGGAGGACCCCAAAGATTTGGAGGACCCCGAAACTATTGAGGGTTCAAGGGGGTCCTAAAGATTTGGAGGACCCCTAAAATATTGGGGGTTCAAGGGGGTCCTACGGGTTTGGGGACCCCCAGAAGGGTTGGAAGGACATCAAGGTCTTACGGTGTTGGGGACACCCTGAAACTTGGGGACACCCTGAAACTTGGGGGTCCTGACACCTGTGGGGGACCCCAAAATTGGTGGAAGTCCCAAAGGGGACCCC